GAACTGGGAAAAACCTTGACAGCAAACTGAGTGTTTAACTGTGGGGTGGAATCAGTCCCAGGAAAGGCACGGATTGATGGGGACATTCATCCAGTTTTATGTGTAAAATTTCTGTTCTTAATCATATCTATTTTCTGCGATGATGATTTTATAAATTATATATAAATGCTTGGATTTATAAAATATGTGCATAGGTATTTTTATCTTTTATAGTATTCACCTGCATGTGATTCATGCAATACATGCAAACGGTATTTGGTTCAGATTTTAAAATACACTTATTTTGCAAAATCTGATGTTTCTCTTTTCATTTTGTACCTTCTATTGCTACTTGTAAATGATTCATGTAAAGGGAACGTCACAGTTTAAAAAGCTTCCCAAATGCAGTCACCCTCCCCTCTTCCAAAGCTGGCCCCTTGTCCCCTGCTCAGCCTAGCTGTGAACTTTGGCTCTTCAGGCTCAGGAGGAACATCCTGCTTTTTCTTAAATATAAAAAAACCCCTACTCATCTACTTACTACTGTTTGTTATATCCTTTGCAAATGGAAATGTGAGTTGCCATGTTGTTAGTGATGTGGGATGGGTGCTTGGGCACTGGGAATCTCCTTCACCTGCACTATCTCTAATAGACTAAAGAGTTAATTGGAAGCCAAATCTGATTTGAAATTGATTTATGCCATTATGGCATGATATCCCATAAACTGCAGAATATTTCATGTTCACTGGGGAGTCAAAAAGGTTAGGTTATCAAGTATGTGTATTTGAAACCAGGTGGGGCCATATATTCCCCTCAGCACATGTCCTGCCTGGAAGAGGCAGGCCCATGGGCCTCCAAGTGCCTACAGTTGACTGGGGTGAACCCTGATTGCTGCAGCATCACTGGGCTGCCAGGAGCAGGTGGGGCTTTCAGCTGGGTTTTGTACTGAGGCTGTGCTTGTGGGATGCTCACAGGACTGTAGCCCTTCCTGCAAGGTCTGGCCTTAAGAGGCAAGTCCTCTTACAAGGTAAGACATGTCACCCTTTCTGTATTTTATCAACCTGAAGCTCCAGGTCCTCGCTGCAAAATCGTGTGTCTTCACTGTCCCTACCTCTTCATACCTGCAATTTGGGTGCCTCTGCATCTCCAGTGATGGTAGAAAATGAGGGTTTGTGGCTGGTTTTCTTGTCATGGTCTGTACTTGGTAACACAAAGGCATCAGCTGAATCCTCTTGTGTAGGCATGCTTGGTTTCTAGAGTAAAATGCTGCCTTTGATGGGAATGGGAGATAACCTCTAGATATGGAGCATCAGCCTTGGAGCCTGGGCTGTTGATTTCTCATCAGTATTGTCCTGTATGTTCTGATCCAGCACTGCAGTTCTCTATCCCATGGCCTTCCTCAGCTGGAGTGTGGTGCCATGACATTATTTTTCTTGATTTCGTTTGCTGTGCTGTCGAGAGGGATGTAGCAGGCATCTCACCTTTAGCTTAGTGCGCTTTGTCCTGCCTTGAGGCTGCCTCCTTCATACATGCTTGCTCTGCAAACCACTTTCTGGGTACATGGTGCCCATCCAGGCTTTCTCCTGTCAGAGGTATCTCTGTGTGCTGGTCCCTCAGCGCAGAACGAGCTGCTCTGGCAGCAGCCAAATGTTATTGCAGCCCTTGGCAGGGATTAAAAACCAAACCAGCAGGCACTGAATTTGCCTGGTTCAATTTTCCAACAGTAACTTTGCATAACCCCTGCCTCTTAATCCATCCAAGCTTCTATGTGAAACTGCAAGTAAGCTTACACCTTGCTTTCCTGGATACGGGTGATCTAATTTAGCGGATGGAAGAAAATTATCTCTGTTTCAGTTTTAACCCTTCTAATACATGCTGCAAGTTAGGAAACGTGTGTACATCAATGAACAGGGTGGAAGCATGGCCCAGCAGCAGGTGGGATGTTGCACATTTGCTAAAACATGTGTAAAGCATGACCCTGTTTCCTGCTATAGAGGTGTCAGAGCGCATCACTTCCCCACTGTCTGTGCAGGACCGTGCTTGCTGTTGGACTGGCAGCGATGGCCATCAGTCTGCTGCCCTGCTTGTCTTCCCTCATGCCAGCTCAGTTTCAAGGTCACCGGGAGGTCAGAGGTGTCGCGTGTGCGTGAGGCCATGATCCCGGGGACAGCCTCCTGGCAGCAGCGCTGCTTTTGCTTCATCTGTTCCACGCTCACCTGCCAAACCAAGAATGATTTAAATTGCAAGCAAGCTAGCCTGGAGATGGAAACGGTCCCAGGATTTACCTTTACATAAATACTCTGGTACAGTAGCAACAGGGAGACCAGTGGCTGTGAGCTGGACATGGGCTGTTTGGAAAAGGACCTTTGCAGCACAGCAAGGACAAACCCAGAACTCAGTACTCATGTCCAGCTGAGTGGAGCTCAGCAGTTACCCTGACAGCACGTTAAAACAGGCTTTTACCTCTCTATCACCACCTCTTAAGCTTCTGCGCTTGTGTCCAGATCCCAAACAATGATCTATACCTGGAGCCAGCAGGAGCAGGCCAAAAGTAATTCATAATTGGGAATCAGTAGTGAAAAATCCAGCTTCCAACTCTACCTCAGAACAAAAATAAATCAAAGTTCAAAAATCACTCCAAAGTCATCACCATGACCAGACAATGCTTCCTTTGTCAGAGACCATAGCTACAGCAAAGAGCAAATGCAAAATTGAAGTGCTCACAGTGGCCCTCTGTAGCACAAAGCTGTGTGTTAACATACCTTGATGAGCTACGAGCAAGCTGCAAGCATCAGATAATTGGTTTTGGGCTACAAAAGACAGTGCCCTGCAATAAACATGCTAGATTTGTATGAAATGTCCCACTTACTAGGATTCATAGCTAATCCTGGGCACAGCACTACAGTAAAGCTTGAACTGGAGAGCTACAGCAGGGTCTGCAAGGCTGCTGGCACTGCATCTAGCTGTGAGGGGTTGATGGCTCTGAAGACTCTTTTCAGCCTTCCTCTTGATTCTTTTCCTCTACTTTTAGCAAGTAACTTCCCTGGGACACAGCTAATGTCCCACTTGTGGAGCATTTAGCTACCAGAACACAGGCAAATGGTATGAAAAAGGAGACGTGATAACTAAAAGCCTTGCAACACATGCCATGGCAGCTCAAGCCCTTAGTCCCAGCCTAATCTGGACTTCACACTCAAAAGACAGTAAATTCACAGGAGAATTGGGACACCCAGAGAGCCAGAAAATCTTGTGTAGAGAAATATATTTAGTGCACGTAAATATGCCTGTACTCTGCTGAAATGCAAATCTGCCATATTGTCTCCTAATCCCCATGCATGACACACTAATAAACGGGGGGGTTTAATACTTACCATCTGCGTTACAGATTGCTTCCCACACTGTGAGCTTGCTTGGTTACAGTTGTGTAGGCATCATGGAGAGATATATCCTGCAATCGACAAGCTGGCTAATCCCTCAGGGGACGTTAAAATGTGCGCTGCAGTTTTCTCACTCCGTGGGCACTGGAGTCAGTTGTGCAACTTACGGCCATAGCTATATTCTCATTTCATGTCTGTCATGCAGAGATAATTAAAATCTACACATCCACCTGAGGGGAATGGTAGGGTCTCCAGATGGGTAACTATAGTGCATTTTTCATACTGGATTAAGACTTGCGCCAAAAAGCCTTGCCTGTTGCCCTCCCACCTGTTAAGATTACCAACAGGGCCGTCACTGAAAAGCCACGGTGGGTCCAGTGACAGGGGATCTGTGCTGACTTGCAGCTCAAATGTATGAGCTTACCTCTCCTTTATCATTGCACGTCTCTTCTCAACGAGATAGTAACACCTTTCTCCAGCATCACCCAGATGTCCACTCTTGGACAGTTCTCTCCCGGGATCAGGGCTATCTGGCTCTTGCAATGGAAACAAGCCACAGCATACTGGCCTAATGCAAAATACATACTATCATTAGCCTGCAACATTAGCAATGGTTATAGTATTGCAAATGAGGGATAGCCAGCTTCATTAGCAAGCCAGGAAAGAGCCTGCTTCAGCATACTGAGCTGACCACCCACTCAGTGACCTTACACCAGAAAGGATGTATCTGGCATTGCTGTGCTGCATGGAGCTTCTCAATTTTCCAAATAGCAGAGGCACAATGAGCCAGGCTGTAGCATAACTGTTGCCAGAAAGCCACCTAGAAGGAAAAGGCTGACCTGTGAGAGGTTCGCATATATTACTAGGGGCAGAACTGCAAGAAAGTAACTGTCTGAAAGCTGCGTGCTGTGCAGCTGGAATCCAGAAAGCCGCTGGTGGGGTGGTGTGAGTGCTGTGGGACCATGCCAAATTCTGCAGACCAGTATGCCAGCCTCAGTCTGATAGAGGCTTTGATATTTTTCAGCTTCTCATGCAAAAGGCCACTGGCATATGCTCTTAAATGCATTTTCCCAGTTTGGTTTGGAGCTTCAAAAACCACCAGGCTTATATCAACCATGGAAAAATTTAATTCCACACCATCCCTTTTCTGAATTTAGAATGATAAAGGATCAACAGTTATGTCTGGACCAGGGCAGCAGATATTACACACATCTTGCTTGCAAAATAGCTCTGGTTTTCATGAAATAAGTTTGTTTTCCTCCTCCAGCCACTGATGACCACATGACAACCGTACAGAATAAAAGCTCAACTCCTTAGTTCTGCTCACATTCACTCAACATTTGCTCTAATCAATTATCTTATTTCATGCAATAAGAAAAGAATGAAATTCCTGTTATGCAGCCATAATCAGTTACAGTATAAAGCTGTGTCTGTGGAACATTTCTGATTTTGAAAACTAATCATGTGCTCTGCCATTACATTTCTCTTGTAATACACTGGGCTTTTACCCAACTTGTTTCTCCCTCCTCCCCCTCCTTGCCCTTTAAAAACAGTGAGGGCACGGTCTAGTCTGAGATGCCACATTCTTCCCCTGCAGAAGCCAGCCAAATTGCACTGTAAGGAACATATTTACCCAGGGAGCCAGACTCTGTTTTTCTAGTTTATTGGAACATAAAAGCACAAGCGGATGTCCCCCGCAGAGGAAGACAAAAGAGCAGAGGGTACTGCATGTGACAGTGGATGGCTGTAGGAGGATAAAAGTCCTGTCTTCACACGAAGGGCTCAATATTGATCTCTACGGCAGAGCAAGGCATGGTGAGCTCAAACTTGGTGATAACATCGGGGTGTAGGACTCCAAGTTTCCCAATGCTTTGACCTTTGGCAAAGACCTCAGCACAGCGACCAGGAAAGAAAGCAGAGCCTGTGAAGAAAGTGAGAGAAAAATCAATATTTCTCTGCTCCAAAGAAGACAATAGGCATTTAACACAGAGAACAAAGCTCTCAGTATTAAACTGTTCTCTGTGCTGAGATGCTAAGAAGGAGCAATCACTTTCTTGCATTAACAGTTGTCATGATTGATAGAGAATGAGGAAACACTTTGAATTAAAAATAAAATGTGCAGCCCAAAGCGTGGGCCTTTTTCACACTCCACTTGTTTTGACTAAGTTACTCTTGTAACAGAAATTAGCACGGATAAGTCGAGTCACAGGGCTACTGAAATGAAGAACTTTAGCAGGCTTCAGGGTATGTAACACCTGAATGTTTCCCACATTAGTCTGTTTAAAGAAATAAAGCTCACTGCCATCTAAAGGGTAAGTACGCAAGTCACGCTTGATTACATGTCACATAATTAGAAACAACCTACATTCCTCATCTGGAGAAGAGCTTTTAAGCAGTTTCATATATGCTGTAAAACTGTGGAACAATGAACAACTCAAAGGGAGTCAAAGATCGTCTTCCTTTTACCTCAAACCAAGCCCCAGGTTTTAAATGTTATTTGGGAGGGTTTTGTTTTGTTGGGTTTTCTTTAAATAAATATTGAATTTGCCATGAAGAACCTGGAAGAGCTATACAGACTTTTCCATGGAAAGTCTTTCCCAGCTGGGAACTTACCTGTGTGTGGTGGCTATCCCAGCAATACACTCATGCTGCCTCCACCATGCTTTTAATGCTACTGCCCTTGCAGACAGGGAACAGCTTTTTAACTTCTGGACAAGCTGGCAGGGACAACATCAGGGGCCAGTCAGCTTCCCTGCCCTCAACTCTTACTCTGCATCTTTATCTAAATAAGCCAATATCCAAAAAACCATCTTCTACAGGAAAAAATAGTTATTGGGTATGTGTGCAGTTGCATTGCTGTGGAGGAGAAACATCCCTGCTCTACTTGCGTCTGTGCCATAATGAAAACAACAGCTGAGGAGATGCTTGCAGTCCTGCTCACTGCCTGCTCACAACTGTCATGGTACTCAGCCCTCCAGCATCCACTGCATCCTGCAAAAGGACCGTAAGCATTTCCTAATGCAACTTACTCTATGGTTGTTCCAGATGCTATTTAAGGTTCAGGATCTGCCGGGACATTCTACTGCATTTACAAAGAGCTATTTAAAAAGGCAATAAAGGACAAAATTAACCTCAAACCTCAGGAAGATTTGCATAACACTGATCACTAGTGGTCAAGCCCAGAGATACATTCTTTGTTAGCTTCCCAGTGGAAATAATTCACTTAAGAAGTGTCTCCTATGAAGTCTGTAGTTGTAACTTGGAGCTAAAAAAATAAGAACAGCAATTAGGTCTTTTTCTTGTCCGATTTGCTGCAAGTGCAAATTAACTTAAATGTGTACTTCAATTTTGGCTGCCTTGTGAAACCTGACGGCAGTAGTAAATGATGATGGCAACATTACCTAAAGGCTGTTTTAAAAAATATCCAGAACCAGTATCTTTTAAACCATCCAGTTCCAGTCTCAACTACAAGCGCAAACCAGCTACTTACACTGGACGTACAAAAGTGACATTATCTAGCCCCTCGATGTTCCTGGCATGTGACTTTAGCCAAACAGACACTTGCCACTGCCAAGCCGCTCTATTCAAAACAAGTGTTAAAATAAAGCTTGACGAAACAAATTTAGACAGGAAACAAATGCCACACACAGAGATCACTCTTCAGATTGTGGGTGAAAACATAACCTAAAAATAAAGTACCCTTGTAGTTAGTGGTAAAGACTTTCCTATTTGTGAATAAAGCTGGTATTGTACCAAGGATGTGAGCAACACACAGTGACGTTCTTTTAGAAACTTGACTGTAAGCTTAAGCTGGCACAAGAGCAAAAACCAAGCAGAAGTACTGGCCTGGTACTCCGCTATGAGATTATAGGGAAAAAGAGCTCTGACAATATGGTTAGTTATAAAGCTGTGATTCTGACTTATCTTTCTTCTGAGCTGTCTTATATGTAGCCTTGGGAAAGTTACTTTATCTTCTTGCACATCTAGAACCAATTAGATCATGAGACTTAACTGTTTTTAAACTTCTTGTAGACATCCATGGACGGGGTCTAAAATAATACTGCACTATTAGGCAGTTTCCAAGATCTGTGCTGCTTCCCATTGTGTGAAACAACTTTATGTTTTGAGGCCCAAGAAATACTCTGCTACCCGAGCACCACTAGTTGTCGGTCTCCCAGTCAGAAGTTAGGTAGAAAATGGACAGGCAGCAGGGGACTTAAAAGCCTCACCTGACCCTCACATACACCACTACTGACCTTCCCTAGGAGGTTAACTTCAGTAGAAGTTCCCTTGCATTTAACTAAATAATACGCATTCATGAAAATTTTTGAAAACTGATGGAAATTTGTGACATTATATTGGAAACTATGAAATGGCTTAATGATTATGGCATAAAGTGAAGGGTTACATTACCTAGAATCTTAACACCCATAAAATGAATCCCTTCTTACTATGAGCCTACAGCCCAGCTTCATTAACACAAGTGAACTGAATCAGTGAATCACCACTGCCAAAAGGGAGGTGGTGGCTCTCCACCTGGAGAGGGGAGGAGAGTGGAAAGAAACCATACATTTAGTGTGCTCTGAATATACTGCCCCCAGCTACGCGTTAGGCATTGAGCCATATTTCTGTCTCATATGCAGCAACTGATGCTGGGCTGTGATGTTATTTTACTTTACACTTCCTTGCAGTGAAGAGGTTGATACATAATTAATATCAAGGGGGCACATTTACCTCCCCAAAGTGCAGAAAGTAGGACCTTCAAATCACCCCTCCGTTTCTACTTAATCTAACTCTGAAATGCTGGTTACTTCACAGTGTGGTCATTAGTGTGCCTGGTGCATTGCAGGCATGGCGCTTGCAGGGTATAAGTCTGTGACTGGAAGAGACCAGCCAATATGGAAATAAAAATGAAAGAACCTGCTAAAAACTTTAGGGTCCCTGTATGTCCAGTTAACATTTGGTTCTTGCACCAAAGAAACATGAGATAAGGTTTACAGACAGTTTATGAACTCTGGTTAATAATGAAACTATTATTATTATTACATGAATTACAGAATGCTTTAAAGCATATTCCTGCCTGCCAAAAGGGCCTCAAGACTACATCCAGCAGATAGGGATCTAAGGTTGTCTTTGTCTTAGTAACTTCTCTTTGACCATGCATGTAAGAGAAGGAGGTTGGCTCTCACCTGAGAATGGGTGTTGTTGACTCATGTACTCCTGGCCAGGGCACCGGAATTTGAATCAAATAAAATTTTCAGATCAAAAAATTCAGACATTGAAAGGGAAACATATAAAGGAAGAAAAAGTGCAGAAGAAATATGAAAAATCTGAGGGGAAAGTGGGAAAAAGAGAAACAAGCATTTGCAGCTGTGGGGAGTGTTCTGACTGAGGGACCAACCATGACTAGAAAGAGAAGTCTGAGCTAGAAGAAACTCCTTGTGCTGAGGACAACCTGCAGGCTGAGGAGGACCTGAGCAACCAACAGAGCAGGACAGAAAAAGAGGATTTGACAAAATAACCAGGAAACAAAGGTAAGGATTTTTTTTTTCCCCTTGATTTGTGTGTTTCTTGTATTACAAGTAAAAGAAATGGTGGTTTAGACTTCTAGCAAGGCTTGGGTTATGGACTGGACTGTCATGTCAACTCTTGAAGTAATGTATAAAACCTTAGAGTCAAGGTTGTTTGAAAGATATGTAGTTATGCTACTTGCACATATGGAAATAAGTGAAAAATGCACACACTATTTTATTGCTTGAATAAATCACACCATAAGTTGAGGCCCAGTGTTCTTAAGCTTCAATTAAGTCTTTATGCCAGGAGGAGTCCGAAGGGTGCTTTCCCAGAAAAGTTAGCAGCTGTGCCCAGCAGCTTTTGAGCAGGAGTTCAAAGCTGACAATAGAATTTGTTGTATCTGTGTATGTAATATCATCAAGAACAGTATGGTTGTGAACACCATTGTCTTCCTGAAGAAAGCAGTGGCCAAAGCAGTCCTGGAAGCACCATTATCAGCAGGTGTGCTAGGAAGGGGCTGTGTTTGCTGCTGGTGTAATTGTATTGAAAGGCTGCTCCTGCAGGTCTGGTTAGTTGCACCATCAAGTATGTCAAGAACCAAAATTCATTTAAATATTGTAACTTACTATATCATCCATTTTAAGGACAATGGATTTATCACTCTTGATATAGTTAATCCTTTCTGCTCTGCACAAAAACAGTACTTCATAAACTTCACCTTGAAGTGACCAGTGAGAATTCAAGGTCCTTCCTGATACAGACCTATGCAATGCCAGAGGAAGCAAGAAGGTCTAACAATGGAAATCCATCTCTTAATATGTCAACATTATAAATGGTAGTTATGAGAAAGGGTGGGGTGAAATATGCATTCCTAAAGAAGAGATGCCAAAGCCAGCCATGTCCTATGACATACTACAGGCAAGTGAAAGAAAAAAGCTACTTCTTGTGGCTGCAAGTAAGAATTTAATTTCCAGTGTTCAGTGATGTAGAAATAATACCTTTAATTAAAGCTTCTGTAGCATGTCCTCAAAATCTGTAATTGCCTCTCTGTATTCAGGCAACAGGGCCACTTTGATTGCTTTGGGGTAATTCTTTGGCCACTAATCCAATAGAGCATGTAGTCTTTAGCACATTTTCTGGCTAATTGACCCTCAAAGAGCTCTGAGTTCCTTGCACTCTTTGTTGTCAAACACCTTGCACAGTTTCTTCTCTCCACCTTACTCTCCCTCCTTTTCAAAAAGAAATAGATTAAAGTAGTATTATAAGCCTACAGTTGCACTAAGCCTTCAAACCCACTTGCTTATTCCTGTAATTTGAAGGAACATCGGAAGCTGAAGCTTAAGAAGGTAATAAGCCCTCCTCTATCGGGCCTCCAAAGTCTTTCATCTTAATTCTCCATCCCCTTAG